TCGTCAAACTTTCATCCCTTCAATATAACCACTATTACAGTATACTAAGGTTTCACATATGCATGAGTAATATTTTTTTTGCAATGCACTATGTCTTAAATATCACATTAAGTATGCATACATGCTATTATGCATGTAGGTGATGTTACAGAAAAAATTGTATGCTCTTTTCCTGTAAATTTTGACACAGTGCAATGCATAAAACAAACAGCTGATGCTAACATTTACACTCTCTGCATTCTTGTACCACTTGATAATTCAGTCTCTCTTTTTTATTCTAATTTTTACACTATTTTCTCAAACACAGTTTCAATGCGACATCATACACGATATCAATAACATCACAAAACTGATGTTCCACATTTCATTGACACATTAAATGCAAGATTTGTTTTCAAGGACATTTTTTACAGAAACACCATGGAATACATATACATGTATCTCTATATGAATTCTAATGCTTATGATAATGATCATTTCTAAATGTGGCAAGTTTGATGTAATTAATTTCTACAAGTCAATTTCTCTGCTTTTTTTAATTGAACAACTTTTCAAAGGCCAAAAATATCATGCCATAACAAGATGCATACAATAAAATTTTTACACAAGAAAATTATAATATTATTGCAAGATGTATTTTCAACAAAACTCATCTTTATTCATAAACAAGGACTAACTTTTTCTTTATTGAAGGGGGGGTGTACATTATTAAGGCATTATGAATCATGATTCCAATAAATCTGTTTTACCCACAGAAAATTCTTATTTCTTAAAAATAAAAACAAAACACACACACACACATACAGAACCAAAAAAAAAAAAACATAAACAGAGATCAACAAAAAGATTGCACTTATATCACAGATGAGAGATTGCCCTTTGGATGACTGAGATTGACAGGTTAGTAACCTGTAATTGACATTATATTATGCAGCTTCTGATGTTAGAATACCTGTCTTTCATTCCTCACATTGCATCAAAATGAAACTTATGTGCCTCTTGCAATTTCTCCTTTTTATCTTCAACCTAAAGAATTATATAATTTTGTTCAAACACATAATCAACAAATACTTGTATAAATTATATTTAGTGAGAAGCCCTATTTCAAACTGTTGGATCTTTTTTGACAGAAAGCAACATACAATGTATTTTACAGTATTTTCAGCTAAATGACAAATACCAGAATTTGATTCAATTTGAGATAAGCTTAAATACAGAAAGGTTGCTATTTTTGTACACCCAAGTTTACCTTTTCTCTCCAGTGCAGTATTCCTACAAGTCCAGCAATAAAACCACACGTCCCAAGTAAAGTAGCCCCGGTCAACATGACCATACGACTGGGGGTCACGAATAGCTTGTTCTTCCAACTGTTAAAGATAATGGGAAAAAATATATTTTATTATTTCATCATTTCTTTGTTCCTTCTAGGTAGCAATTCTTATAAACGTTAACATAATACATTTAATAACTTCATCATATCCAGGTTTGATAAATTTGTCTGTCACAATAAATAATATTATAAACCATAAATAATTGCCATTAATTAGCCTATAAAACAGAAACCTTGCTATCTTGATTTATTTCTGAAGGAAGAAGCCTCCTACCTGCTTGGTTTATTGTTAGGATAAGGAATGATAATCAGCTGGGAGTTTGGAATTATAGACGCCCATGATCTTTGTCGTATACTCTAGAAAAATAATGATGATACCAGGTTGTATATACAACTACAAATTATGAAATGAATACAGTGGTCTGAAAAACAATTCTATGTTGTTACTGAACTACAGGTATAAGTTGAGTGTTTCTCTTTTTCTTACATATTTGGAAAATAAAACTTCACAATCACTTACTGTTCCAGGTGGGTTAGGTATTCCAACCTCTATTTTGTCAACAAAGTTTGGAGTTTGTCCCAGTCCGAATATTGTGAATGGAAGCTGTAATGGTGTGTAGGCTGACTGAGATAGCTGTGTAGCTGTGAGGAAAATGAGAAGAAATATGGATTTGACATTTTGCTCATATGCTGCTTGGCTCTATGACTTTTGTATAATACCAGGGTTAACGATCTCATGACCTTTGAATTTAATCCTTGACCTACTTTTCAAAATAATTCATAGTGCCAATATACAGTATCATTTTCAACATTTGTGAGGCAAGTCTGTGCTATTTAACATGTGCAATGTTGTCATAAGACATTATGAAAAATACCAGAGATACAGTTCAATTGACTTGACCTTTGACCTATTTTTCAAAAATATTCTGAACGCTTAATTCAACATGCCTTTTGAATTTTAAGAAGCAGGGCATCTATAACTAGCATTTATATATTACATGTTAATGAGCTCAAGACATTGTACTTTTAAACTGTATGATATACAGTTACATGTACCACATAAACTGAAATTTAATCACTACTACGAAAATACATCAGGATCAAAATAACAAAATGGATTGTACTTCAAATAAAATTCTAGACTGACAATTATTGTAAAGACAGACTGAAATCTCCTTCTAGTTACTAATCTGAGGGAAACACATAAAAAAAATGAATAAAAATTAACTATTTCTAATAATTTCATTTTCATTATTCATTTTAGCATTGAGGGTTTCCCTTTGACTGTCACATTTAATGATAATTCTATCACAGTCTTACTACTGGCAGATGGTTTTTTTTTACTTTGTAGGCAAATGCAAGAACTCTAAAATAACAAGAAGTCTGTGAGCCAATGCTCACTAGTAATACCCCCGCTTTGATGTGTTCAGAAGTTCACAAGTTCAGTTATGGACAGACACAAGGATGAAGAAGTTGACATCAGATTTGTACAAAAATGAATCCCATTATATTGCATGCCTAAACAAAGAGTGTGCTAAAATTTCAATCATCTGAATCAGTAGTTGCTGAGAAAACTGCAACCAAAATTTGTCATGTATGGTACGGACAGATGCACAGATAAACAGGAAGTTGACATCGGATTCGAACATAATGATCCCCACTATATGGCATGCCTACACAAAGAGTGTGCTAAAATTTCAAGCATCTGCAATCAGTAGTTGCTGAGAAAACTGCGACCAAAATTTGTCATGTATGGTACAGACAGACGCATGGATAAACAGGAAGTTGACATCGGATTCAAACAAAAATTAATCCCACTATATGGCATGCCTAAACAAAAAATGTGCTGAAATTTCAAGCATCTGCAATCAGTTGTTGCTGAGAAAACTGCGACTGTATGGTACGGACAGAGGCATGGATAAACAGGAAGTTAACATCGGATTCATACAAAAATTAATCCCACCATATGGTATGCCTAAACAAAGAATGTGCTAAAATTTCAAGCATCTGCAATCAGTTGTTGCTGAGAAAACTGCAACCAAAATTTGTTATGTATGGTACGGACAGATGCACGGACAAACAGGAAGTTGACATCGGATTCATACAGAAATGAATCCCACCATATGGCATGCCTCAACAAAGTGTGTACTAAAATTTCAAGCATCTGTGATGAGTAGTTGCTGAGAAAACTGTGACGAAAAATTTGTTATGGACAGACAGACACAAAGACAGACAAACAAGGGTAAAACAGTATACCCCCCTTTCCTTCAGAGCGGGGGTATAAATAGTGGACAACCCTTAGAATATATTTATATTTTTAATGATGCTGTAGCAGGCGAGATTTGCATTCATGGAACACTCTACCGGTAGTTTATATTACCTGAGTAGTAACTTCTATCTATATTTGAACTTATGTACATGTATATTGTATTTTATTATTCTACAGAATATGTGAGAATGTATATATTTGTAAAATGTTTCTTATCTGACCAGGTGGTAGCTGCAGAACTGTAGCATTATGGTTTTAATATATTTTAGTCTTTGACCATAATGCTACAGATCCCGTAATGCAAATACCGAAAGTATATGAAAGTCACTCTAAAAAAAAATTCTAAGGAAAACAATTGGCATATTTTTTTCAATCTACTAAGTTCATTAACAAGAAACATCTAATTAAAAGTCCTTTTTTTTTTTAAATTTACTTTAACTCTTGAAAATTAATCTCTGCAAACTTAAAATATGCTGCAGTAGGGGGAGGGAATTTAGTATTTTCTGGGATAGCCCCTGAAGGACAGGATTATGGAACTGATAACCGGAATGAAATTTAAGTCACATCCTGCTAACTTGATTAATTATTTTAATTCTAAATTTTACCACACTACAAAAAGAGAACATATATCAACAATAAAAATGTACTATACCTATTCCAGAGATGGTATTTCCATCCACATTCTGAGTGGTGTATTTAACAACAGGTCCATACTGATTTACTCCATATGGCTAGAAAAAAAGAACAGATATAAATGAGCTCTCTTCTTACTTTTTTCATATTGATTTGATAGAGAATTCAAATTCAGCCAATCACAGTTTCCAAATGATTTTTCATTAAGACTTTGAATTATTTCACCTTGTATTGTACTATGCTTATAGCAAACACGCTTATAATGAATTTACAGCGAAGTGATTTTCATTCCCCGTGATTCTAAAAAGTATTGTGAACTTTATGTATATAATGATTCATTATGTTTATAATGAAGTTAAAGTGTCAATTTCTGGCACTTTGCTATAAGCATGTTTTACTGTATCAATATACTATATAATGCAAATAGTTCATGAAAGTGCATACCTCTCTGTCATTTGGACAATTATTAAAACATAACCCACTCACAACTACAAAATAAAAATATCTGTGTATTAAATATGATTTATTTGCTTAAAGTTTAAGTCATAAGTACCCAGTGCAAAATTGCAAAAAAATATTCAAATTTAGCATGACTTATGCAATACACAATCAACAAAGAATTTAGTCCAGTTTATATTCAAAATGCAGCAAACTTTAAGTTTTTAAATTTACCCATGATTTTGAGGAAATTAGCATCTTCTGAAAAGTCTTGCTCCAATAAATGTGTATGAAATTTTTTGTCCTGGCTGTAACTTGTCAAAACAACATCCAAGATACCCTGAAAGAATTATCAGTTGATACACATGTACTACACACTCTTATGTTTCTTTCCAATGATACAGCACTTGTACATATTTTCTTTCTATCCAAACCAAAGAGCATGTTTTACTTTTGAAAATATGACATTTTTTTTCTTGCACTGCATTTTAAAAATTGTAGTGAATATTTATGTCACAATCTATGAGCATGCAAAACAGGGTAAATATGCACTAATGAAAGTACTAACATTTTCTTTGTAGTCAAAGAATGCTGGGTACACAGCTAGATCAGTGTTAGGTTGAAGTGACAAGTCCCATCTGATGTTAAACGTCCTACCCAGGCCATTACAGCCAGTACAGGGCACGTTCTGTAGGATATAAGCCTTTGTGATGTTCCTGTAGATATACCAGTAAGTATTTACTGAAGAGACAGTTGTAATAAACAGAAATGAAAAATCACTGCAAACTGGAAACTGTACAATAACTGTTTTGCTTATCAATTCATGTGCTACTAGACCTTTCAATAATTTCAATAAAAATGTTACTGAATGCATACATGTATGTATATATCCTGCCAATTTAACTTCACTCATTGTAATTAAGCTCATTAATGTAGAAACATCTCTTTTCATAGAATTAAAACTAATAAAAGTAACTCAGAATGTTCAGACTGAGACTTAAAATATAAAAAATTTCAAACTTCAAATCGCCATTCACTTCTTCAACCATAAAATCAATTTTTTTTCCTCGACACGAAAAAAGTGACCCCGTGAAGATAAGTGATTCTACAATATATTGCTATAATTAAAATTAAATTCACATATCAAATAACAAAGCTGAAGTTGTCTGTACCCTCCTTTGTTGTCTGGAGTTTGTAAAACAGCCAGCATATCCTGAAATCCGTCCAAGTTAAAATCTCCTGTCCTTAGCGTAATGGGGACTCCACCCACACCCTTATTGGGAGGGACAAATCCCCACTCCTGGTTTCCAGCTTTGAAAGTTACTGGCATCTTTTCCCACTGAAAGATCGTAAACTCATTTCATTAATATATAAAGAAAATAATGTCTTTTTTACACTGAAATACAGGATAATGCACATGACATAACTGCAGGCCTCTAGCCCAGTTGTCAGAGAAATCTTTGATCAACTTTTGGATAGCTATAAAAAAAATCTTCACTGAACTCAAGTAAATAGTTATAGCTATGCAGCTATATATGTATTTGCTAAAATGAAAGTACATATACATGTAGTTCTGCGTATGACTGTTATGCAAAAAGTATCAGTACAAAGAAATCACAATAAGTATTTTGTTTCACATCAGAATCTGTGCATGTACTAGTAAAATGTAATACAGTTGAACTTCGGTATCTCGAACACAGATATCTCGAATACCGTGGATATGTCGAAGTGATTGGGAAGTCCTAACCACATATTTCTTAAGTATTTTACCCTGGATATCTCAAACCCTCGGATATCTAAAAGTTTTTTCTCGGTCCCATCGAGTTCAAGATAACGAGGTTTGACTGTATATCAAGTTTAACTGTATACTTACTGTTTCAGCAAAATAATATATAGAGCTCTTGGAACACATATCATCATCACACACAGGCAGTAGTGTATCTATGTGGGAGTCTAAAATACATTTAAATAATACGTTAACTGTATCACATGTAGCTTATAAAACATACAGCATTGAAAATAATTATATACTGTATAAAATGCAGATGAAAATTGTATGCTGAATAAAAGAGAAATGCTTTACATCAGTTTATCTAAAAAGAATTAACCTTGATTCCCAAAATCAGCAAAAACTGGTTGTCCTATGATTTTTTTGTCAAAAATATCCATTGACATGTTTTGACTCCAAACTAAATGGCCATTCTGTAATAGAGGAAAAGTGAAATTATACTCTGTCTCAAAAACTCTCTACAGCGACTGAAAAGCAATCAATTATCAGAATGTGATCCATGCAACTTCTGATCTTAGTTTTAGCATTTAGAATTATGTGTTTCAGAAAATGTAACATTTTGTTGAATGCGTCAATTGCATCTAAATGTTTTACAAAGAAGAAAATGAAGGTACTCAGTCAAAGATTACAGAGCTCACCTCCATGAATGTTATCTTTAAGTGTGGCAAAGTCTCAGACTAAACAAATAATCTAGTAGTGTACATCCATAGATGCAACATTTATGCAAATTTAGTCCAGGTAGGGTTTGCAGTTACTTGGGTTACTTGAAAAACTTTAACTAGGTCACTCATCCAGAAAATATAGGTCAGATCAAACATCCAAGCAAGACTTGTAGTGTGCATTCCATGCTAGTTTGATCCAAGTAGGCATTATAGTTTCTTGGTAATGGACCTCCTCAAAAAACTCAATCTAGTCACTCATCTGGAAAATGTAGACAGATCCAGCCTCCAAAGCAAGTCTGGTAGTAAATATCCCTAGATATATCATCTATGCAAGTTTGCCCTAGGAAGGGCTTAAAATTAAACTGGAATGAACTACTGCTCCAAAAACTACAACCAGCTCATTCATCCAGAAAATATAGGTCTAAATCCAGCACCTGAAGCAAGTCTGATATAGTGCATCTCTAGAAGCATCATCCATGTAGGTAAAGACAGGGCTTGAACTTGTACTCAAAATGAACCTGTTCCAAAAACTTTAAGCTGCTCACTCAACTGGAAAATGTAGGCCAGATCCAGCATCCAAAGCAAGTCTGGTAGTGTCATCAGTAAATATAACATCTAGGCAAGTTTGGTCAGCATAGGGCTTACAGTATGTAGAAAGGTGGAGCTTCACTGAAGCAGGTATAGAGCCTAAGGGAACCATACTGGCTTATCCTGCCTCTGATAAAAATCTTGAAATATCATTGGTTAAGGATAATACTGTATTCAACCATGCTATGCTGCCTACCCACATTACATTGTTAATGTGCCCCTCCACGTGACCTACCCACCACACATCAAATCAATATGCCCCCTCCTTGTGACACCTACCTACTACACATCAAATCAATATGCCCCCTCCATGTGACCTACCCACCACACATCAAATCAATATGCCCCCTCCACATGCCATACTATCCAGAGATTATATTTGTTTACAGGAGCCTAATGACTGACGTCACATAAGCACCAAACGACATCACAATGTTAATTGTTATGGAACAGTTTGCCTAACTCAGAGGAAATGAACTAGATCTACATGTGTATTGAAAAATCTTTGACAGGATAAATTCATTACGTAGACACTTAGAAGGGTAATACAGAAATATATGGGGTCCTTGCATTTTTTCAAGGACCCCATATATTTCCGTATTACCCCTCTATGTGTCTACATAACTAATACTGTGTATACCTTCTATGTGATTTCTTAAGACATGCCAAATCAGTGTCATTATTTTTCTCGAGTAGGTCAATTGAAATGTTGATCACAATGAATTAAAGCAGAAACATAAATGTTATGTCTCTGATTAAAGCATACCGGTACTAGATTGCTAGTTCAATAAATTCTTGCTTTAAAAAAAATACATGAATGAATCAGACAATTAAAATATTTTGTGTGTGTCTTAATCAATTTCAAATGTTTGTAATGAAGGGTAGATGTTCAGAATGGGAAGCAACTCATAAAGTGCAAGTTGTGGAAGCAAAATGAAAGTGGAAAGGGGGGATCCTAATTCTTCATTCATGCAAGTTTGATCGATATAGGGCTTATAGTTACTTGGAAATGAGACTTGCTCCAAAAACTTTAAACTGTTCCAAAAACATTAACCTGGACATTCTTTGGCTGAAAATGCAGCATTTCAAACCTGACCAGTACAATGAAACATACTAGAAGCATCATCCATGCATTCCTGATCAATTTAGGCCATAAAAGTACATGTACTTGAAAAGAAATCTGCTCCAGAAACTGGGATGCCAATACCAACACCTAAGCCAGTGCCAAGCGTATTACATAAGCTTCCCCAACTTCATTTAGGTGAGCTAAAAACAGACTGACAGCTAAACAGACAGACATCCATATTACACACCTTATTCATCCATACTTCCAGCTGTCTTTTACCACCCAATTCTGACATCACACAGAGGTCTGTAAAATATCAATATTTTGAAATTACAATCAACATTAAGCTTTTCAAATTACATATTTCAATACATCTTATCTTTTCTTGTGCCCTTACCTGCCACTAAATTATTATCAATGTCAACAAATGCCCCTGCTGTTGGGTGGGATAATGCTGGGGGGTTTCCAGGAACAGCCTCTTCAGTGTAATTCTTTACATTCTGACTGCAGGGACACAAACGTACATTAATTTACACTCTGAATGAAAATAACCAGATTTTGAAAATTCATTAAGCAATTCTGGAAGAAACATTCTACATTGTTTAGGTACTGCTACACACCAAACTTAAAATATATAGAAAATATAAATTTGTGCACTGGTATGTTGCTATAAAATACTTACTGAAAGATCCAGTAAAAGCGTGGACCCTGGGATTTTTCTCCAACTAGATCAGGAATCATGTCTCCATTAACACTATGACAATGAAGAAGTTCAGAGATCAATATCACAAAAAAAAAATAATAAGTAACAACAGAATTCATAATGAGGCTAATAATAATGAATAATGAAACTAAAAAGTAGGGTTTTTTTTTTCTTCTATGGTTTTTATAGTTTTACCAGTACACTCAGAAAAGGATTGTTTAAATATCATAGCTCTCATATTCTCATTATAATGGAATCTTTAAACTTAGTCATTTTAATAATGCTTAAAGCTTTTGCTTTTAACTTAGATTCTAGAACTTTAACTTACTCCAGTATAAAAGGTTGGTCCTTGAGTTCGCCACTGATGCACAGCTTATCATTTTCATCTAAAGGAAAAATAATGTAGTAATTTCATGGATCACAGAATATGCTGTCGAATCATCATTGTTCATGGGGGACCAATGTTTGCAGATTTCGGGGGCACCCTTACCCATGAATTTACATCCCAGGCCACAAATTGTCCATGTTTCATTTTATTGTATCTCCTGTATCAGGGTTTTCCCTAAGACCCGAGGAATTTCCCTGCCTATAATGATATAATCCCCCGGTTACTTTGGTATTTCCCTTCAACCCCCTGTTAGGGGAGGAACCCCAGACCCCCTAATACTTTTGTAATGCCCCCTGCTATTTCAATTCTTATAGGGACAACCCTCCTGTTTATATGAAATACCCATGACGTTACGTCCCTGTGAACCAGTAAAATTTTATTTGCCCACAAACATGGATCCCCAAAAATAACTATAGGTTTGAAGTTACATATGTCGCCTGTTATAGCATCATTAATGACATAGATAAAAATAAAAGTGGTCAGCTTTTTACTTGCATACTAGTAATTATATATTGCAATTGCCTGCAATGAAAAAAAATCATCCATGGATAACAAGACAGCCATAGAAAAACATTTATAATAAATTATGACAATTAAATAGAAATATATGATTCCTCAACCCTCAAAACTAAACTGGTAGTATTAAAATATGTAATAAAAAAAGTTATTGACTGAATATCAGGTCTTTGCACAGATGAGAACCTCGCAAACTCGGTCTTCTTTACCGCACAAAGACCTTGGGCGGGAATATTTTCCGATATTCTATGAATAACCTATAAATATCAAGTGAGCAGTTGAACCTGATTGACATAAACTTACAATACAAAACATGAAACTAGTTTTGCAGGTCTATAATCTTTGACAGTGAATCTTCTTGAATTACATAGATCATTAGCATGTCATTCTTTCATACCTATATTTCCTTTACTGGGGGATCCCCAGTACACACAACCATTCACTGCAAGAGATGAAGCCTGTACATTCTGCATCGTTAAAAATAAGTCCATTTGTGTATCTCCATTAAAATCTGCTGGCACAACATTTGTTATTACGACATCTGATTTAGTTTTGAGCAACACTTTCTCCTCAAATTTAAACTCAGAGGAAGTTCTATCAGAGGTAGCAGAGAACAGTTTGAGGGTTTTACCTGAAATAGAAAATATACAACTACAGGTAAGAGTTCCCTAATTCTTCTGGATATACAGTTGAAGTTCAGTATCTCAAACAGGGTTCGACACTAACTTTTTAAGGCTTTAGTCCAGCCGGACTAGTGCTTCATCACTTTTACTAGTCCGCATGCGATTTTATTAGTCCGTCAAAAAAAAGAAACATCATTGTTTTTTAACATTAATTTAACGTGACAATTAATATACGTATTATTTTTTGAAATAAATAAAGTATTTACGTGAAATATATTATTCCACGGATTCACTGAAATCTCGTAATCAGCAAGTACGATCGTATTCCCGATCTTGTTTTTTTCCCTTAACATTACATCCAAAACGTCCAATATCTTTCTTAAAAGTGTCATACTAAATCATAATCGCTAAAACCTTATACTTCATACCGATCAGTCGAAAAATTAAGCGCTGAATTGACCCGGTATTGCGTAACTACCCGCCAAAAGCTAGAAATCTAACAATACACGTGGGGTTTTCCAGTTTAAGTTGTCGAGAATCGGACATGGGTAATTTATTCATTTTGTTTTACAGAAATTTTTATTGGTCCGTTCGGACTAATTAGCCACATATTTTATTAGTCCGAATGAAAATGTATTAGTCTGAGACTAACGGACTAACGTTAGTGTCGAACCCTGTCAAATATCAATGATCTCAAATACCATCAATGAGTCAAAATGAATTAAAAGTCAAAACAACTTTTTAAGGTATTTACTCGTAAGCTCAATATCTTCCCAAATTCTTCTGGAAGTACAGCGGAGCTTCAGTACCTCAAAAATCAATTTCTCAAATACCTTTGATTAGTCAAAGTGAGTTGAAAGTTAAAACAATTATTTTCATGTATTCAACCTCAACATCTTGAATCCTCAGATATCTTTATGTTTTCTTCTTGCCCCCATGAAGTTCAAGATAAGACTTGGTTTGAGATCAATAACTGTTCATTATCTTCACTTTTTCATTTGACTTACAACAGAAAGTTTATTGTAACAGTTCTTCCAAAATTCAACTCATAACCTGATACCAGGCACATAACAATTAAAATTTTGCCCAGGTTTCAACATGACTTTTCCTCACAGAAAACTAGGAGTCAATTTGTACGTTGTAGGTTATGAGTGGACTTCCTCCTGTTGGTCATAAATTGACAGTCAGTAAGGGTAACAGCTGTTTAGAAACCCCAAGTTATATTTGTTTTTAAAATATTTCAAGCTGATGTATGAATTTTAACCCAATGTTCAATTTAACTTGTTTCTTTACCATCATCCGACAAGACGAATATATCTGTATGTTTATCAGCATTAAAGTCACCAAAGGCTGCTAACTTTCCTTGGACCTCTGTTCCAAAAACTGATGTAGTTATGTCGTGAAGAGAATTCGAAAAACAGCTGTGAAAAATAAAGATAAAAGGGATAATTTGTTTCCTCAACTTCATTGTTCAATTTGTTGTCAGTGTCATATGAAATGTCAATGTAACTTTTCTTTTTTAAGACTTAAAGGAAAAGTTCCTTGGAACAAACTTTTAAGGGACTTTGATGAAGGGTTTGCCAAAAAGTTTCTCAAAAATATTGCAACATTGAATTGATGATAGACTGGTACCCTGACATTGGTTAACGGGCGCGAGCGCCCTAAAAAACCAACGACAGGTAACCACTGCCATTTTATCGCGTCACAGGAAACAACAATGATGATAAAAATCTATATTTAAACTAGCGTAAATCCATAGTGCTGTTATAAACAAACCTTCTTTCTGCACTCCATACTGCTGTTAACAAAGAAAGTAGACGGATTTTAACCATCTAAAACCGTTACGAAGTGCTGCCTTAAAAATCATTGGCAAGCGATATCATATGCCTTATTTAAATAACTCAAATCTATAATTTTTAACTTGCATATTTGCCATTCACCCATTGGTATGTTAAACATTGATTCCACTACGACACTAGATGTTCTTTAACTTTATTTATGTTTTCAAGTTTACACGGAATGATAGCTTTTAACTCGCCTCTCCATACTCCATAAATCACTGTATATTTATGTGTTTATGAGTCAGGATCGCAATGTTAACACTATTGGAACATTCTCGGGTTCATTGTGACATTTGTAAACTATATACTCAGTCAATACAGTCACTGTCATGTTATTTAAATATTTCCCACGTTTTTCATTGTTTTATTCTTCAATTTAGATATGCTACGTGTTGTTATCTATGTTATTTAGATCACTGGATCCACCTAACATTCTTCTCCGCAAGCATGGATGCTATTTATTTTTAGAATGCGCAATTGCTATGCGCGACAAAGCAGTGAGATTTTCCACTGTCATGGCGGCGGTGGTTACCTGTCCTTGTAATTCCTAGCGGCAGCGACTGGAATCAAGGGCAGAGAACCAGTGCTAAATTGATGAAAGAAATCCCGTTAATAGGTCGGTTTTTTTATCATACGCTTAAATTTGTTATATTTAAATTTTCTCAAAATAAACAATTCTTATGCAATATCTTTATGACAGAAATCTCCCGTGTTAATGTCGCAAACATCAGGACAGAGGCATGGCGAGCTTGATATGTAAACTTTCAGGATCATTATGTTTACAAGGTCTTTTACTGAAAGAAACAACGTGTTGTAGCAGGTAATGAACACAGAGTAGTTGTATTGTAGCTGAGTAGTAAAATAAAATTGGAAAGATTGAACGCATCTCGATTTATTAATAAATGACATTATTTTGCTTTTAGTTAGTTCGAATTTTCTCTTTCTGTCATTCCAATTTCGGTGATATAGACGAAAAGAACAATTTTAACTTATTCCAATTAGCATTACAACGCATACCTCCAATTACTCATAAAAATGTTTTATATGTCTTAATGACAACTGAAGAAAAGTGTCATGTTGGAAATGCAGATAAACAGACGTTTTTTGTTTTGTTTTGTTTTTTAATTTTAAAAAGACAGGTGTTAAATTTGTTAAACATTAGGCATGGAAGGGAAACTTCAAGAGATAATGTTTAGATTATACTGATTTTAATTTTGCAGAATTTTAGTTAATCATGAACAAAAGCGATACAGAAAGAGAACAAGGAAACCAGCGCCATGGTTTGTGCCTCGTAAAAGTGTGCCCAGGACCTATGGAATAACAGATGAAAATCTGACAGACCTGCGGGAAAAAGTATGGGAGGATGTAGCCAATGTGAAAAATTCTCCAATCAGAGAAGAGTACCTAGAAAAGAAGGGACTGACAGATAATATTCTTGCTAGTCTTCAACAAAGTGCAGGAGAGGATTTTCAGTGGAAGTTTGAGTAAGTTCCATAATTTGACTATGTAAATGCTTAGATTCACATTATATTATTACCAGTCAGCAGGGGATGCTCACTCCTCCATGGCACCTGATCCCACCTCTGATGTCTTTAGAGGTCCGTGTTTGCTCTGTTCCCGATTTGTATTGTTTTAATGGACTTTGAGCTTGAAAACTGCCCATTATCTCCATATTTCATTGAGAAAAGCTAAATCTGTAAATATCCTGTATTTTAAACTTGAGTTAATATTTTGAGTATTGATTTGTACATTGTCTGTCTATTGTCTTACTTAGCTAAAATTTAAAAACCTCAGCTAAAAACTTGATGAGTTAAGAAAATAGAGCTTATGGATTAAAAATGTTAAGGGAGGGGGGAGGGATCTGAAAAAGAGAAAATTCATGACTTTCTTATTGATATCAAAACAGTGGTAGTTTGTCAAACTTAAAAGAAAGTAACTTCCAGTAACTTTCAAATAATTGATGTCAAAATGACATATGAAGTAAGACAATTTATGTTTGTATCTCTAAATAATTTTACAGCACAAAAAGAACAGGTTTATTGGCAGTTAAGCTTGGCTTAATACCACAGTGGAACAAGGAAGGCAAAAAAGTCATGTGTACTGTTTTACAGGTTTGTATAAAATGTATGTTCTGCCCTTCTACGATGTACCAAATATACAAACAGGTGATTTAAAAGTAGACTATTCAAATTTTAATCATTCTGAGACCAAGAATTTTCTTATTTTTCTGCAAAATAAACTTTTTTGTTCTTAATTCCTTCAATAAAAAAAAACTTGCTTGAAATAGTTTTTTCTGCCCTTGGCAAGTTTAAAATGATATGATAATACGTAGATGCACACTAGAAGTCTAACAGGAAAATTAGAAATGATGATAATTATAGCATATTTTGTCAGGTAATAGACAACCATGTGATAAGATATACACCCCCAGAAGAGTTCCAGAAAACACAAGGATACCATCCCTGGTTCCCACGAGATGTAGGATCTGTCGTGGTCGGTGCTCTCTCATGTAGTCCTCTGCTGGTAATTACTATTTATGTTACCGGTATTTAATTATTCCCACAAGCACACAAAAACAATTCACAAAATTCCTGGTCATCCAAAGCAGTAACTTTTCAGCAAGAATAATAAATTTTAGTGGAATATTTGGTTATTTGGAGAATTGAGCTTCATAACAATTGAATCTATTAACAATATTATATAATAATAAAACAATTGGTTCATAAATATATACATGTATACAAAAGAGGCAAAAAGTAGATTTAATGTAGATACTCATCTTTTCTTAGGGAAAGAACCAATAATTCCTGCATTGTGCTTATCGATACATTAAATGTAATAATTTAATTTCAAACAGTGTGTATAAAATATAGGTATTGTAAATGCTTGATATCAAAGAGTGATGTTTATATTTTTATAAATGAATAACAGATAAAGAAGACATTACGAGATTCTCATTTTTTACATTCCCATTCAGTTCATTACATGTATGAGGGGGAAAATTTCTTGAAAATTTTTAGTTTTTATGCCCCCAGATTGAAAGATCCCGGGGGTATATTGTTTTTGTCCTGTCTGTCTGTTTGTCTGTTTATCCATTTGTCTGTTTGTCTGTCTGTCTGTTGTCAACTTTAACCTTGCCCATAACTTTTGATTGGTTGGAGCTATGACTTTCATATTTCACATGTGTATTCCTTGTGACAAGACCTTTCTTTGGGTACCATCATATTTGACCTTTTAACCTTGACCTTGGAGTTTGACCCACTTTTGCAAAATTTTATGAGACTTTAACCTTGGCCATAACTTCTGAACAGTTGGTGCTTGGGGTTTCAAACTTCACATGTGTATTCCTTGTAACAATACCTTCCTCTGGATATCAACCTCTTTGACCCTTTGACCTTGACCTAGGAGTTTGACCTACTTTTGAAAAACTTTAACCTTGGCCATAACTTTTGAACGGTTAGAGCTAGGGCTTTCATACTTCACATATCTAATCCTTGTGACAAGACCTTCCTTTGGATACCAACAACTTTGACCTTGACCGGTGATGTTTTACTTACTTTAAAAAAATATTAACCTTTGCCATAACTTTTGAACAGTTGCAGCTAGGGCTTTCAAATTTAACATTTTTTATCTTTTGGCCTGGATTTTGACTTGCATTTGAGAAACTTTAACCTTCGCCATAAGCTGCCATACGGGGACATCAGTGTTTCACAAACACATCTTGTTAGTATATAAGTCTATGTTGAAATATTTAATAATCTAATAAAATCATTCTGAATGAAAAGATTAAGATAGATTTGATATTGATTATAAGCTGGTTTTTGAAAACTTTAAAATAAAAATGATTGAGGCTTCAAGCACAACAAAAATTGCTATGTTAGTGGAAAATTATTGAGAAAACAATAAAAATATAGTGCTGGTATCAATCTATGACCTATGGTTTACCAAACAATGCTTAAAACCTTTAGAGTATGTGTAGACGATAAAGTTAATCTCGACAATGTGAAATTTTCAATCTATTCCATAATTATGATCTAGTATACGTTTCTAATTAAAATAATATGATGTTATTTTTCCATAGATATCTAGATATTTTTGGAATACATTTACAAGTATGATCACTTTTTCTTAAAATGCAAAAAAACTGGGATAAGTTTTAATAAAGTGTTTGAATGTCTTTTCTTTAGTTCACCAAAGAGTACAATCACTTATTCCTGGAGGCTGGGGTTGCTCCTAAGAGAAAATTAACCAGATTTTTGGTATCACCAGAATGCAGAATTGCTCCAGGTATAATACTACATGTATATCAGAACATATATTACATACAAAATTTTAATTTGATATTAATCTCAGTACCTTATTAACTCCTAGACAAAATATAGTGACAAAGTCGTGTAGAGCTTATGCTATTTCCACTTGTACTGGCATCACTGACTCACTGTATGCATAAGTGGTAAAGGCTAAATTATTTTGCATCAGGCTTTTTTTATGCCCCCGGATCGAAAGATTCCAGGGGTATATTGTTTTTGTCCTGTCTGTCTGTTTGTCTGTTTATCTGTTTGTCTGTTTATCTGTGTGTCTGTCTGTCTGTTGTCAACTTTAACCTTGCACATAACTTTTGATTGGTTAGAGCTAAGACTTTCATATTTCACAT